CATATAACTATTTAGAGGCACCTTAGGTTTATGGTTTATCCACAAAGTAATCTTGATCCCACTGCGTCCACAGAAGACCGGTTGGTGAAAGTTGGCATAAATGAAATCCTGGTTTATCAGACTCATCGGTGACATTTTCTGACAAACACTCGATTGGACATGAAAGTAGACTTTCTTTTAAAATAAATATTTCGGCGGAGAGAATTTTCTGAACCTTTTGGCTCTCTAAAAACTAAGAATCCCCAGTTCGCCGAAGATTTTACCATAACGGTCTCAAGTCTTCTCGCTTTACATGAACAGCGAAACATGACTTCGTAGGAATTAAAGCACATCGTCAACACCAACCGCTGTACAGAACAGCACAGGGAAGGGAACATGATGCTACTTGACTATTTTGTGACAATTCTTAGTCTAAATTTACAAAGGTGTTTCAATGAAGGTGATTCATTGGACCATACTGCCTTTGCCAATGTAGAACAGGATAACGGGAAAGGAAGAAAAGCAAGGTTAAACTTGGAAAAGGCTTAATATTCAACTAATATAAAATATGTCACCTTGTTGAACCACGTAGCTGGGCGAACAATCTTTCATCACAGTCTTCTAGAAACGCCATAAGGCAAGAATGATTCCTTCTCAACGCGACAAATGTCATCAAAGAATCACGTAAAAACGATGTTTTAACACTATGGCAGAGTTCGTCGTGATCCTTACCTTTAAATTTGCAGTCAAGGCTTCAATGCTTTGAAAACGGAGTCCGAATGACACTAACAGAGGCGAGGTGGAATTAATTCATTAAATCTTTTAAATCGTTAAGCGAATGAAGATTGGAATGGGTAAGCAAAGCACGAGGGGCAGCCATTTGGTCTTCACAGTGCCTAAAATTCGTAAATCATCCATAAAGCAAAGTTTACTTCAATCAAATTTTATCGGATTTATGGAGAAGTCGCCCTTTCATTGAAAGTCAGGACAGCAGTGTTAATAGGAAGAATTCTATCATAGAATGAGTTGAGTACTGACATCGTTCCATCCGCAGAATTCATACGACAAGTGAAGCGACCAACCTGTAAAATTGAAATCGAGAGGTGATCTTCAGCTAACGCGTGCAGCAAACGTTTCCCGATGAAGAAAACCACAACGGAATTTGCTATAACATGATAAATGCAACATTCTGCTCAACAGATGTTGTCGTTGTTTCAAAGTGTATAAGATAATCGTTCAATTCGACAATATTACTTTTAAAATAACAACTATAGCAAGGAGCAAATAAAAGGTTAACATTGTGATTTCGACTACGGCCTCAGCTTAACTTGGTTCAATGCCGATTTGTGCTTCCCTGATCAATTCCGCTGACGAGTGATAGCTGATAGCAGCATTAGGTAAAAAACTAGATGAGAGAAAGGTAAAGCACTGGCCTTAATGGTGCTGCGTGTAATATAAGAGCCTCCGAAAAGAGAAATCGTGGTTCGATCTTGCCGGGGTCTAAATTTTGCGAATACCTCAGCATCGCTGTGGTAATATTCTATTCGTCTAAAACAGAGAAAACCGCGGAATTTGAGGAGGAAACTCACAAAGCCACCTCCAATTAAAGATTTTTTCCTATTTTTAGCATGCTTTTAAGAAGGCACCCTTTACAAGCAATGTCGATGAGCAATATGAGCGGCGTATCCAGCACCTCTACAACAAAGGAAATTCGAGAAATTGACACGGAGAATTCTTCCTCTAATAACTCCAGCTAACAGACCACCGCGAAAAGCATGAACTGCAAGCCATTAGCAAGTCATTAGTCCGAGCTTATAGAAATTCCGTACAGCAGCAAGAAAGAAGGACATCAAGGAAAAAGAACAGCACAGTCTGATGTCACTAATGTTTGGAAGAACATTCAAAAAGAGCATACAAACATAGCTAATTGTATGGCAGTATGATTTTTTCGATACTCGAAGGGAAAAATTACCACATTCAAGAAGGTAGTGTCATCCACGAGTTCTACTCCTGTCTTTTTATAGCGTGCTAACTTACCTTTGCACTACAGCTGTGTTGGTGTGCTGTCACAGATGTTTGGAATTTATAGACCTGATGTGGCACACCGCCAAAAAAAGTGTTAAGTGTTGTGCAGCAAAATCAAACAGCAGCTCAATAGAATGGTTTGACTACAAAACCAAGGCATCGTAACAATACAAGATGGCCCCGTGTCTGGCTTTCATCGGTTGCAGAAAACGTTGGGTTTCCTTTAGAAGGAAGTCGCTGCAGAGGTTTGCTCATATAATAACCACATGACAATCCTACGGCTTTGTAAAAAGGTCTTTTATCAAAACGGAAAAGAATTTCACAACAAGAATTCCATCATCCCATGACGCCATTTTCCGACACAGCTTCAGCAAAACGAGACTCTTTTGGTAATTTTGCTCCACATCACGCTTGAAAACCGCAGCCGAAAACTAGAATAAAACAATATAAGAGTAAAGGCTAATAACTAGCAGCAGCATCAGTTGGCTTTCTGAGATAGCTTCTCATAACACTAGCCATTAGTAAAGAAGCAAGTGGCCTTAGACAGCGTACGGAAACATCGACGATCTAGTGAAGAAACAACACATCTGCTTCGTTAACTTTACTTCTTTCGTGTCCTGGTATGATCCACCAAAATCTATTCACTACGTAATTAGGTGGTCAGCGCTTTCGAACACCCAATCAAGAGCATCATGATGGACGTATCTTGATTTATCCTAATGAGAAAGGATGTTTACACCTTCGTCGGTGGTTGAAATTAGAAACCCGGCTCATATACAACGGAATCGAAGAACGGATGGGCCAACGTCACGCGCTTGATTGGCACTTTCTGGAGCGAATCCTTTCAGACCGTATTTCATGCGACGTCAGGTTGGCAGCAGAACAGCAACTAAAACCTATCGGTAGCATTCGCTATGAAGGCTGCGATCGGAGAGTCACCGACATTCTGGTGTTCTTTTGGCGAATTGAACCCCCCTGATGAATTCTAAATCGGGACAACGACAAATAATCCATTTTCTACTTCCACCCTCAAGTAATGTGATAGTGAAGAAGAAACGAGTGATAGAAACATTGTTGCTGTTATAGTGGTGTTATTAATATATGGTTGTTGCAACACAGTTCGCATTATTCATTGTCATGACATTACTAACACGCTGAGCATGCTCCGTCCGTGGATAATACATACTTTCAGTTCATACTGAGTTATGTTATATGAAATGGAAATTTATTTATACGTTCTTATGAACTGCCCTTGTTGGGGTGATGCGAGGTTGGTATAAGTTTGTTGTTGTTGTTGTTGCTGCCGTCGTGGTTGTTGTTGTTGCTGTTGTTGTTGTTCTTGTTTTGTTGTTGCTGTCGTTGTTGTTTTTGTTTTGTTGTTGCTGTTGTTGTTGCTGCTGTTGTTGTTCTTGATCCGTGCTGTTACAACCGGGACTTCATTTTTTGTTCTTATGTTAAACGACCCGTCATCACATCTACTGTGCGGATCCCAGCACTTCTTGTATTCAATTCCTCCTCTTCACATTCATCGTCCACAAAGTTCTTCGAACATTTCCCACATTATTTCGGATGCTGCTTGAGAATTTCGTTTTCTTCATAAATGTCGCAAAACGCCGCTCGAGTCGATTCTTTTTGCAGTCCTGCAGATTGCTGAGCTGAAGCGTTCCCACGTGGAGTGGAGGAGAGCGTTGCGAGGGGTTGAACTAATGCCTTCACTTCCTGACGTCATCACTAAACGCTGCACTACTGCCTTCACCAAAGTGCATTAGTTACAAAATCAAATTTTTGACAGCTATGCAAGAACCTTTACAGTCGACAAAGTGTTAAAGCATGCTTGGAACAAGGAATGCAACCCTCAACTAGGTACCATCCCTAAAAGCTTGTTAAGGCCAAACGACTGCTTAGCTAAGAAAAACCGGTACACAAGCTGTCGGGTTTCTTCGTCTAACAAATTTCTTTCACCTTCGCTTCCACCTTTTTCTTGTAATAGTGGAAAAATCAGTGGTTAGGATGCAGTGATCGCAAAAGGTTCAAATAAATATAATCTCAACTCTCTCGTTTCTTCTCTCAATGATGATGTTTTCCACTTCGACAAACAACATATATACCCAGCCATCAGAAAGAAAAAATTAGGCAGTACATAAGAATTGACGACATTGTGATTTATATCACAGCTTTAGCTTAACTGGGTTCATCCCCATTTGTGCTTCCCAGATCAATCCCGTTGACGGGTGATTGTTGATAGCGCCAATAGGTCAATAAGGCGACTGAGAGACAGGCGAAACGATGGACTCACATGGTTTGGTGGTGAACGCGTTAGCTCCCGAAAAGGGTAATACTCAGTCCCCACCCCAGACACTAGCGGTACGGAGTTTTGCAAATATCTCAGCACCATTGAGATTATATATCACATAATACGCTGCCATTAAAAAAAATTGGTAGGCTGTAAGTAAAAAATGGTGAACAACATATAGTTTATCCTGTTTCAGCACTTTTCTTTGAGATGCACTATAGAGAAAAACGAAACCGAAACACGAAACAACCACCGGTAAAAACGTCTCCTAGGGCACCAAGAATGGTTCCAGACTAAAAACTACTAACACAGAAACTATGTGAAGAATCACAAATACCCAGAGATCGATATTCCTCCCACGTGGACGCGATGAGATCAAGAAACGGAAAGACTTCCACGTTTAGCTTATAGGAGCAAATAAGTCACATAAATAAACAACCACGCGAAATCCTAACGAAGATTCACCAGCAGAATCGGCATAAATTCAATATTTTGTCTGCTGGGAAACGGGCCAGACAAAACAACATCATTAGGCATGTGATAACGGGTTGCGCCAAACGATCGTACGGCACCTTAGAAGGATTTAAAAGCACGAAAATTTTTGAAATACTGTAATCAGAGCCGGTTCAGCAATAGAAAACAACGCAAGAAATCGCTCAATGGGGAAAAGAACGCTTCGTGAGCGCGAACTGCGAAGGTGAAGTCAAGACCGTTGGCTGGCAACCTGCAGACGAAGACTGGCGATCAGCTCATTCTTCTCGTGCAACTCACGACGAAGCGCCTCGTTCTCGCGAATCAGTCTTTCCATCTCCGTACCGCGCATTTCCTGAACGTCGTGTGGATTAGTTTTCAATTCTAACATTTACAAAATACACAAATACAAAGGGGTCATGGATCCTACATTGTCGAACACATATATGAAATGGGATGGAAACTTATGGAACACTGAAATCTGAAAGTACGGGAAAAATAAGTAGTTTGGAGCACCAGCTATTTCGAAAGAAAAACCACTTACTTTTTACCCGCTTAAGCTTAAAAAATCAATCTCTAAGTTGTTGTGACTGAAAAATCAAAGCATATCTGACCTGGAAGACAAGGCGTTGAAGCTTCTCGAGCTGGCCACGGATGTCCTCCACCTCGTTCAACCCTTCGTTGATAGCCCTACAGTAGGCGGGCGGTGGTGCAGTGAATACCGTGGCAGCGCATCTGAAAATCCTTAGAGATTTCGAAGATCCGTCAATTTATGCTCATGAAGATTTCAACGATAATATGTTAAAGGCCAGGCCATGTATTGATGACGACATATATCACCTTCTAATAAAAGTTGGTCACTGGAGCAACGATGTCAAAACCTGACCTGGTCGAAAAATGATTAAATATGTTAGTAATACTAATACTAAAAAAAAGACAGTTTGCACCCCAATAGATGATACAACTGAGTAGAGCGTTTTTGTAAGCAAGATGGGGAGCTTGCAGTACCGACTAGTACCATCTCGATAATGGTGTTGGCGATAATTTTGTAATGGCGATAATTTTGTAAGAGTGCCTATGTAATAATCGCGTAGCTACGATGATACCATGTGGAATTGCTTGCGAAGAGCAATCGACTCAGTCGATTCAGGAGTATGCATATTCTGTACAGAATATTATGCATCACATGAAAGACACCGCATAAGATTAGCCTAGGTCTAGAGTGGACGGTGGATGTTGAATGCAAATCAAAAGCGAAGGACTCACTGTCGTCGCCGTTGTGCCTGAGTGGATTCAGCCTTCCAATTAAACACAGTGATACTATCACGCATACTAGTGCTTGAAAGCGGACCACTGTATTATTATACAACCACCACGTGGATTTTACTAGAGAAGGCGGCCAGATGAATGCGAAGAAGTTCGAGGTCATCAAATAACTCGCCGACCTCGACCATGACTGCAGGCAGCAACAGAGAAAATATGTTTGCATTGTATTGCAGTTCTCTTTCTCTCCGTATCTCAGGCACGAATGTGACCAATGATTTGACACCTTGTTAAGCAACCAAAGAGGTGAAGAACAGAGAACAAAATCACAAAAACCTCGCTGAACATCTTCGCGAAATTCAGGATCAGTCTAGTTACTCATAAGGTTGTGAATAGGCATGTGAAGATGATTCACGAGACCAGGTGGTGAATATGCGAGTGTTTCATCTTTAGATCATAGTTCTATCCACTCGTAACCAATTCTAGAATGACGAATATCCTCGGCCATTAGGAATTGAATCGAAGCCACGACATAAAGCAAATTGAAGACTTAAGTACTTTCATATTAGACAAGTAAAATGTCACTGGAAAATTAATCTTGAAAGTTATCCAAAAGAATTCAACACTTCCGTCATTAGCGCTGGAAAGTTTGGTACTGAAAATGAGGATTTAAAAAAAAGAGGGACTACATGAGAAATTTGGAGAGATTTATTTCTAAACCCAAGCATGGCCTACCTTTCAGGTGAGGAAGAATATTCCTCACCTTTTTCGTATGATAAGAAAAAATTTAACCAAGTTGTTGATTTTTTTCAAAATTATTTAAAAAATAGTAGGTGGCAGGAAAATCTTCGACTCACGTCACTGTGGAGCCTTGTGCATGTCCGTTGTCGAAGGTTCGTCGTGGTCTGAAACGAATCGATCACCAACATAAGAAGAAGAAGGAATCATAGACGAAAATGTTTGAAAAGTTAGGTTTGTTGCTTTTCAGGGATCGTCTTGGCAACTAATGGGTAGCGCGCAGATTTTGGGGGAAATTTTAGGGTTTTAACTTAGGGTTTCAACTGGTAATAATCCTTTCAACAAATAGGAAATAAGACTACGGTCACAGTATTTTTCAAAGATACGAAATAGTTTTTATAACTTTAAATTCTAGCATGATCACTACTTGATCGCTAGTTCAATTAGCTCTCACGCTCGAAAGAGCTGGTAACATATGTTTTCTCTCACAGAAAATGTCTTTTCTCACGAGGCAGACTGACGTCGAAGGTTTCAAATAGTTCACTTGAAAAATGAATAGGAACAATCAGCTATTCGTCGAGGAACCCATGAAATAATCCTGTTGTGTCAGGAGTGTTATCATCTCTCCTAAAGCGTAACCGACAAAAACTAACGTTCTATCAGCTGAAAAGATAAGAAAGTCGGGTTTCGTAATCAAAACTGGCATATCTTGACGATTATGCAAAATGAAAGAATTGAGAACTCTTTAAAAATAGCCAGGTGTAAAGGTTTAATCCAGAACGGTTCGCACTTCGAGGAAATTCCGGCTGATTAAAAAGAAACCTGAGTTATCAATAATGAAAGCTTTGCATCGCATGTTGGCTGCCTATGAGGATACTTTAGCAAAAGTGGGAAGAACGGAACATGGGAGAGAGAGAACGGAGAGGAAATCTCAAGCGAATGACGAAAAGCCCTCCAGACAGATGGATGCCCGGGATCGTTGCAGGGACCCATGGCTATATAGTAAGGAAAACCTCAATCCAAAGTTAATATTTCGAATGAAAAGTGCAAGAAAGCAAGTACTATGACGAGATTGTCGAATAAATCGAGCCCGTCTTACCCGAATATTGGAACCAGGATCAGATTAGAAACCGAGTGGAAATGGAACATTGTCCTGGCAGAAAGGGTATTATGGGCGGTTATCAGGATATAAACGTCGGGTTTGAGGTAGATACAGTTATGTGGCTGTAGAACTGGTTTAGAACAAGATCGCATTTTTTGGTAAGGGATGTCCTCATTGGTTCTCTGGCAAAAGGAATTCTAACATCGTCGCATCTGGTCTCCCATTACCACCAGTCGATTTCGACGAAGACGATCAATGACATCCTCGAGAAGTTTGGTCCTCGAGAATTTTTGAGCAGAAGAACATTGAAGTAGAATGTAACCCCAACCTTTTATACTTTTTTGGTTTCTTTGTGTGAAAAAAGAAAGATGATGAAGTAGGGAGAGGCAAAATAGATTTACAACAAATTCAAGTTTACCGAGCAGGAAATTTATACGAAACCTCAACAGACATCGGAAGAAATCGTTGAACTGTCCGCATAGCATGGCTACAGCTGGAATCACCGTGCTCAGGGATCCTCAAAAATCGATGTTTGGGGTATCAAGGGTGGCGCGGAGTGTGCTAGTCGCCGCTTTTATGTCTGGACAGAGCTGAAAGTTTCATTTTGAATTGTGCTGTTGCTGTCATAGCATCACTGATCGTAACATTCTTCAGCAAACGATGATATGACGAAATGGGTCAATATGGAGAGAAATGTGAGGTGTGGAACGCAGTGAACCCGAACGTGCGAACGACGGGCGGGAGTGGGCGGCCCACCATAACAACTGTAGTCGTCTCGCCGGCTCCACGACCACCCACGCTCTCACTGGCGCCGCCCGCTTATCTCGACCGTCCCCCGACGGTTGTGAGGTCACCCCTCATGGCAACATATTAAGCCAACTATGATGTTGCAGTTAGACGACGATTTCATCTAGTTCAATAATTCCTATGAGCTCTACGTATCAAATCCGCGTCTATGTTGTCTGCTGAACCGGTCCTACTTACAGTTTCATCTTTTTGCATTAGTAGTTGAGTATTAATGTTCTTCTCTTCCAATCAGTTTATTGTATATAGCCGATCTGAACTGCAAGGAATAGCAACGAATAGCAGCTAGCAAAACAATCTACCTGTCAATTCACACGTATGATGATTTAGACAGTTTAGAATACCAAATCATGGGGGATGGCACAGTGGTAGTGATGTTCGTTATCACAAGCATAGTGCTAGTTCGATTCCGCTCCGAGCCAACTAAGCAAGCCTCTCATCCCTCCGGGATAGAGCAATTGGTACCGGACTTGTCTGGGAAAAAAATCACTCTGCAATCCAACTGGGAACGCTCCAGCCTGGCTATCTCAGGACTCCAGAGAGAATTGCGCGATCAACATTCAATGACACTCAAGATGAAATGGAGATCCTCAAGTAGCAACCGAAGCCACACTTAAAAGTTGGATCTTCGTGGACAATGGATGCGAGGATCGAATGTGAGAAGTGCTGGGATCCGCACAGTAGACGTGAAAACGGTTGAAATAAAATAAAATACGTAAAAAACGAATACCATATCCGATGTGGAATTCTACTAATAAGTCGGACTAGAGAAGGGGAAAGTGGAATAACTCAATGGGCATAACAATTCCTATAAAAACAAGTAATGACGGCTGATTACTATCTCTGTTATCATTTAGATTAAGCGCATATTTGTACTTCGAATAACTTAAACAACTGCGGGCTGTGACACCCGCCATTGGAAATTTTGTGAAGAACTAAATTTTTCATCACTAATGCGACGATGTGGTAGCAATGCTATTGGGGAGAGAAATGGTGCGAGCGCTGCAAGCACGATCCGCGATCATGCAGAGCCGTGAAAGCCACCATAGACGTTTTATTGTTCATATAAAACACATTTTAGGAACGAAGTCCGTAGTATCTGATAGTGTTCACAACCGCCAGCCATCTGACAAGCGCAGAGAGCAGCTGCCTGAAAAGTTCACAAACTCACATGGTGTCATCGTCGGCTAGTGATCGGTCGATGGAAATCAGAGTAGCCATTTCAGCCTCGAACTCCATTCTTCTCACGGCCGAGAGGCAGTCGATCGACTCCGAGTGGGAGAACGTGTCACCGATCAACATAGGCTGATCCCTGAACGGAAATGATTCTCTTCAAAGAAAAGCAAGTCTAACATATTGCGACAAATATTGCTGGCGAGACCGAGTAGAGCCAGTGCTAGAAAAATTGAGCGTGTGAAACATGAGGCGTACAAAAAATCCAGAGAAACGCTACAAGATATAAACAGAGGAGCGCTTATTATTGACTGGGCACGAGTTTTGTAAGTGATCTTGCAAAAAATGTTCAGAAATTGTCTTAGACTGTTCAGTTCAACAACGGCAAGGCATGTTCTTGAGAGTACTTGAAATTGATGACAATTCGATTATATTTCGAATTCGGTTACAGTGCAATTCGACAATACAGCTAATACAGCAGTTTGGTAATTCATTCTCACCGAAGCACGGGAAAACTGGATTTGACTTTTCCAAGAAAACTGCTAAGAATGTTTTGAAAAAAGGGAATAAACTCAAGAAACAGTGGCTTTGTTGGATCACTTCTATAAACCGGATGTAACGTTTTTCATATAACATAGCAAGAAATTGTGACATAATTTCTCTTAAGACTAGTCGGGTACTGTATTTAAGGAAAACTGATGGTGAGTTCACGCACGTTATCTCGTCATCGATGAGTCCGCGATCGGGTTCATGCCTGGTCAGGGCAGGTGACATCATGCGTGGCACATCTGAACAAGCATATTGAAGAACTCCGTGCTTTCGATTAGCACCTACTCACTATGTGTTCCGCTTATGTCTAATTAATAAGGAAATAAGTGACTGTAGTGGACAACTGAAAGAATATCCTAAGCAATTAGCTGTAGGAACGGAAGACAGTGAGCATGAGGAACTGATGTTATGCAGTGGGACTCGCCAGCGACCATGCAGGATTCGTAGCTATTAGAATTAAACAGATCGCAAACAATGATCCCAATACGTTTCAAAACAAGATACACACACACACACACACACACATACACACACACGCACACACACACACACATACACACACAAACACACACACACACACACAAATCCGGCGTTTAGCGAAATTTGCTCAATAAACACTCCATGACCTGGCTTTAGATATGAAGAAAATTAGCCAGGAAGAGTAGAGATGCTTTTAACCTGCCTGAACATAATTCCGGACGACTTCTCAAGGCACTCTGACGACATAGTTGAGATTTTGGTGCTAGAAAGTCATTTATTCCATGTATTTTCAAAAAGATTCTAATTGGTTCAACCTTCTAATGAACGCATCTTCTCCATATTTCTGTATAGGGAGTAACCATAAAGATAAGAACTAGATGAAGAAAATAGGCATGAACATAGCGAAAGCTAACTGGAGAGGACGGGAGTGGTGAAGTCGGCCGGCGGGCAGACGTTGGCGTTACCGTCGCTCTCCTCCACGATCGGCTCGGAGAACACGTTTGTGTGCGCCGAATACCTGAAATCGCCTCAGTCACATAGGAATCGGCGAAATGTCCTCGCCGAGAACGAGGTGGACACGGAGAATTATGATGACCGTGATGAAACTCAATTCACTAGAGCTGCTATCGAATTATCTGTCTCAGAATGTGTGGCATTCACACTAGAAGTGTCTAACATATCTTTAAAATAATTTCAAGAAGGAAATATGACTTATAAGTGTATTCCATAGAAGTAATGTTAATACGGAAAACCCATCAGAATCTCTGAGGACCCTTCAAGTTTCGGAAGGAGATATTAGTTGACGAATTGTGAACAATATTGCTACACTAATATTAAAATAGTTTCTCTTAAGAACTATGGCTGCTGTGCTTCCAACAGACACATGATAACGTACGTCCACATTATTGAAAATCCTCTTGATTGATTATTTGCTAGACAAGCTTACTCGCTGATAGGGGGTTGGGGGATGGCGTTCTATGACAATGATGTGCCGTGCTTTTTTAAACCAAAGAAATAAGCTTGCAAATGGAGCGTGTCATTAATACTAGTAAAAATCAAACTCTAAGACCTTCTTCAAAGCCAACACCTTCTTTAACGGTGCATAATTTTGCCAATTCGAAGGCAAAATGTGCGTTTTCCATCAGCAGGGGTCGAACCTGAGACCTTGCTTATTAAACCCACTGCCTAACCAACTGTGCCGCGGTTGGCTCAGTCTCAAAATGTTACCTAGACACACAACTACGCTCTTTTACACTATTGCAAGTGCAACATTGAAGTAACTGGTAGAATTTAAAAGTTCTCAGTTGTAAAGATTTCTAGATGCCACATCTTTTCATTGTTGAAGTTCTTGTGCGGTACTATAGCAGGGGAGAATATTAACAAAATACTTTGCAAGCAAAGCTATGCTGACCTTTTGGTTCCTCGCGGACTACTGTTCCATTTTTCCAATATCAACGGATTATTTTCGACGGCCGGTGAGTTTTCGACCACCGATGACTCAAATTCGGCCAGAGGAGCTCGTCGCCTTTAAGAAAGATAGAGAATAAGAGAAGGTGTTGGAAACTACAAAGACGTACCCGCTGCGGAATGGAAGATTCATGCGCGACTTCGTGGTCAGCGTCACAGACGATGGGTTCTGGATTATCTAGAAACAGATAAATTACAAGACAACTTTTTAAATAAAACAATACAATTTATACTTTATGAATGAAGTCAGTTTCACCTTAACTTCGAGAAAGTGTTATAGAACGAGAAAGTCTCATGGCAAAACCCCTCATGGCATTCATTAGTGCAATCTACCTAGGAAAACTGACGAAAGGTAACTGTGAAGGAAGCGTTGAGTAAATGAAGAAGAGAAGAATAAGAGCGAGAAAAAGTGAACGATTTGAATTCTAAGACTGATTTTTCATAGAAAGACTTGACTCTTGACTTATTCCGAAGTACGAAATTTCTTAGAAATAAAGAGCGTTAGAAGCTCAAGAAATTCTTCGTATTTTTGTTGAGCAAACGCGAGGTGTTATTGTTCTTTATTCACGAATAAGCTGACGTTTCGGCAGATTTCGTCTTCCTCAGAGCCTGGAAAGGTCAAGTTGACAGCAATCCACTCGGCCAGACGCCTCCATAATCAAACAAAGAGACTCTAAACCAAGATTTCAATCACTTTGAACACAGCTTTGCACACTCACGCTTTCTATGAGGTTTCCACTAAGTATGCCACGTAGAGACCAACCGCACAGAAATCACGTGGAAGTATAATGTGCCCCCAAACATCAGAAAAGCAGTTTTATATACTGCCCTATATCACGCGTGATAATGAGGCATTCTTCCCTGTGGTTCATTTTCAGATTTCTGGAATTAATCCAGAATGTCTCGAGTTTTTCGCGCCTGTGTTCTTGATTCGCGTGCGAGGATCGTGGCACATACTTCAAAGTCGTCCCCGTTATGTCTCTGGGTCCTATGCGTGCGTAGCGGTGTATTTGGTCTATGTTTGCCGGCTAGGTGTTCTTTTATGTGGACACAGAGGAGTCTACCCGTTTCGCCAATGTATTCGTCACCGCACGTCTTACAGGAGATCAGATAAACTATACCCGAGCTCATGCAATCACCGTCTCTACCACTGGGGCTAATTATGCAATTTTGAGTTGCACATAGACGGTCATATAGGCGGTTACGAACTAGCTGGCGCTTAAGATTACTCGGTGGTATTTCAACTACGCTCACCGAATTCTCTAAGCCCGCCCTTCTTAAGCAGCGTTTTATAGCTGTACTTATATCATTTGAGATGAAGGGTAGGATAAACGGGACCCTTCTATCGCTAGAGTTGTCGTTTGGAGGCCTACGATTTCTTCTACACCTATCCTGAGCTA